GGGGATAAAAAAAAAACAAACAGTGTGCTGATGAAAAAAGAAAAGGAATTCCTGCAGAAAAAGGTAACTGGAAAATATACCATGTCCATCTATTCAACAGTTTATAACATATAGAACAAATCGTTTTCAGTCATTTATAATCCAAGATTTATTTTCATATTGATGGTAACAACATAATGAGGGAGTGAATTTCTACTGGTTTTATCTTGATTAGTCAATAACCTGGAGGTCTAACACAGAATCAAACAAGCAAATAATTATTCAGATCCATTCACCCTGAGTTTAACGAACGGTTTTCATTTTCTGGAAGAAAGAAGTTCACTCTTCTTCAAGAACACCAAATCTATTTTATTTCCCACCACCAGCTTCAAAAAATTGCTTAGTATTTTAACTCAGTTCCACAGCAGAAAAGTACACACTGACTACAAAAGTCTTATACACAACTTATTTATTCAGTAATTTCAAATTAATATTAACCTCAAAGCTTTCTTTATATTTTTAATTAACATTTACCGCTAAGATAACTAAAACTTAATGCTTAATCTTTTTCAAGCAAAAAAAAAGAAGAGTTTCCTCAATATTAGTGAATCAATGTGCAAAGAAATATTATCCTTCCATGAGGAAAATATATACATAAAAGATCCTGGAGCCTTTCCATTTCCTCCCAATTTTCATCACCAATATAGCTGTACACCTGAATGAGAACAAGCGTAGGAAGAATAATTAAAAGACACTGGCAACTTAAAATCTGAAATCTTTCTGGAGAGACTTAATTTAATACTATAGTATTTTTAAAAAATCCTGTTCATGACTTATTTTACAAACACAAAAGTCTAAAATCTGTACTTACTTCAACATGTGCAAATAATATTTGTTCAATGTTATCATTGTTTTTCTCCTTGAGATCTGGTGGGATGTTTCTATTTCTTACTTGGAAGTGTGTTTTACTAAGATAACCATCATGGAGGTCCTGTGTTCAGAAAACAAGAAAGAAAAAAATTTTCTGTAACCAAAATGCTAAATGCCATCACTGTTCTAGAAAATAAACAGAGCATGTTATTTAGCAATAAGTTCCAAGTCTTTTTATAAGCACTGATGACTGCATTACTTCTCAGCAACTTCTCACCGGTAGTTTACACTAGTTCTTGGTGTTAAAGGCAGTCAAAGATGTGAACATTAAAAATAAAATTTAATATAGCTATTAATTGAATAAGACAAGTGAGGATCAAGGTGAGTGCCAAAGAACTGGAAGACAGTGAGCTAAGGTCATGAAGAGCTAAGCAGCTACTAACGATTTTGACCTGTCTATTTCAAGCAATACATTTGCACCAGTATAAACTTCCTAGTTCTTGGTAGATTGGTTTATTTTGCTCTGCTCCCCTCTTAAAGTCCGGAAAAAAAAAAAAAAAACCACCAACCAAAAAAAACACTTCAGAACTTATGTGTGCAGAGTCTTCACAATTTGTTCCCTTCTCCTGATCACATCTGAGGGTCAAATGTAAGAAAAAACAGACAAAGCTGTACCTTCTCCCAGTTCCATTTTATCATTCTGCTTCCCAGCCCACACGGCCTACTGTTGTAAAAGGCCCTTGTGCAATTTTAGAGTGGCAGGAGAAGGTTTTAGGAGCTTTTCCCCCTTGCTGACCTGCCTATTTCACACATATATAAACATTAAATTTTTTTAATTAGAAGTAAGAGGAGCGAAAAAGTTTAATAACAGATCACTGGAAAATCACACACTCTGAAAGGGAGAAAGAGTATACAGAATACAAAGAATAGTAGTTGCATGTTAAGAACTTACTTCTTAAAGGAAACAAATAAATTGGGGTTTTATTAGCTGTTTCATTATGATTTATTTTAGACAAACACAGAAAGCATACACACAACATCTGATGAAAAAGGATTCTATTCAAAACAGCCTCTCTACAAAATTCATTAATGCAGCATTAAATTGCTTGACAAGGCTGCAAATTTAACTATAATTCAACTCTGGCTAATCTGTCACTGCTGACAGCTTATAACATGTATTCTGACCTTTAAATCAACATGGTTTTTATTCTGACACACTAGTTCTTTCTTTTCAAGGACACTGTAGAATATATGTACCTCCAAAATCTGCTATGGGCTACTTGTTTACTTTCTTCTTATCAAGTTTCACACATAAAAAATGATAACGCTCTCTACATGTACTTTTGTCCACAAATTTTTAAGCATGAAATCACCCTATGAGCAATTACCTTGCTCATAACTTCTGCTGCATGCCTTATTTTCTCACTAAATCTCATCAAGAGCATGAATCCACCAAACTTCTATGGATGTCCTGGCTGCATCCTGTGCAATGAAGAAATAAGCATGCAGAGGACAACAGTGACAGAAAAATTAAGCCTAACTTGGTGATACAAAAGACATTTCTTTCACTCTCAAGTCTCTCCCTGTGGAGCTCCGTGCGAGTGTCAGCAGGAGTAAAGCTACCTGCACTGGTATTTATCCCACTAAGAGCGGTAAAGAAAGTACTACAGCCACCCACAGAGGTAAAATGCCCCAAGGCACCATACGCTTTGCCAGAGAAGGGCTGGATATAGCGTTCACCTCCCAGAACCAGTTCTTCCTGTCAGCAGAAAAGAGTCAAGCTCCATATCCTCTACATTCTGTAGCATTTGATTGCCACGAGAAAATATCTATGGATAGCTGGAAATGTGGAGTTAGCAGTCTCTGTTTTGATAGCTGTATGTCAGAGGCTAGAGGAGAGGTGGCAGGAAAGTGAAGCTTCCCTCCTGTTGCATTCTCTGTAGTGTTATGTATTTTGTACACTTCTGCCCCTATAAATAAATCAATACTTTAGCACAGACTTTGATTCCGTTACTGTAGGAAGGGAGCCCATTTCTACTCCAGCTGTCTTGTGAGTATCATAAGCAAAACTTAACTGATACAGCCTTTGATATTACCCAGATTAACCTAAATATGAAACAAACACAAAGCAGAAAGCAAACAGGGGCAGCCTTCACCGTCAAGATTTAACTATTGATCCCTAATAACAGGACTCAAGTTTAGCTCCATCAGGTCCTACAGTAGAGGTGCTCTTGCCTTTTTTTTTTTTTAACATCTTTCTTCAGGGCCGGGGGGGGGGGGGGAACAAACCACCAAAACCCACAAAAAAACACACAACCAAAAAAAACCCAACCCACCAGATTACAAAAATAACATACTTTAGGACATTTCACTTACAGCTATAAATACAGGGTTCTGCTTGGGCCATGTAAGCTTATGCCACAAGATCCAGCTCCACAAAAACAATGAGTATTTCATCATCTAAATTTAATCTCTACAGAAAACATAGGAACATATGAACACAAGAACACAGTTCTATAAGCCAGGTTTACTTGTGCGGTCTTATTGCTATCAATGCGTCCATTCACGTGAGTATGGAATGAGGAATGGGATCCAAGTGCATTACATCAGCAAAATTAAGAGTGCCCCAAACTACCCACAATACATGTATAGGTAAAAAAAAAGTAAAAAGACAATGAGACATCTTGTTAACAAAAAGCTTCATGCCCAGACTAAGTACTATAAATGGGTGGTCTCAATGGCCAGATTTTTATCACACACCAAAAATCACAGTCACCAACCTGGCCCATTAAAAAAAAACCCAACCTCTAACAGTGTTTTTATATGTGAGAACAAAAACCTATCTCATTCTGCTATTTCCAGCAAATCTTCTTATTTCACAGAAAGTTCGAACTTCGACCCATGTATTAAATTCCCAACACAGAGCATCTTTCTTTATAAATATAAATATGAATAAATCCTCACAAATATAGCCTTGGACTGAAATCTAAAGTTTCAAATGGTTGATTGTAAGAAAGGGTGCATTGTAACACTTGGCTAATATTTGCACTTTTAAAAACTTCTAAACAGAACGTATCCAAGGCCGAGATCCTGCTTCTTACTGAAATTCTGTTTCATCTGTGATGAAAGGGTTACAAATGCTAATGTACAATTACTTAGGTAGAAATGATAGCATACATCTACTCCTGGCCTTCTTGCACTTCAAAATGGTACGAGCATGATTCTTCTCCACAAAATTCATGAAAGCATGGGAAACCACTAAAGTCATTAAAGCTAAAAAAAAAAAAAAAAGCTACAGCAGTACATTCAGTACATTTTCTACGCAGAAGGAAGAAATGCACATATAATAATGAGTATCCCAAATTATCTATCATTGAAAACCGGTCAGAGAAGCAAGAAAACATATGAAAACCTGCACCGCCCACCCATTAAAAAAAGTGTGGCAGAAAAGAATCCTAGAACACTGTGGATTTATTATTAGATAGAAAATAATAGAAGCACTTCAAGGAGAAAAAGCAAGTATTCAAAATGTTTCTGTTGTTATCATAGAATAAATACAAATTACATAGCCATAAGCCATAACTACTACAAAGTTTTCATTTCAGCAGTGGCTAAGGAGAACATTCGCACGAAGTGGCTATCGTTAGGTATTTTTAAACCAGTACGTAAGAACTGCTGGTTATCTTTAAGTCTTCACGCACTGTGAGGTTTCAGAGAACTCTGGAGAAAGCCAGCACACATCAATGTATCTTTATATACTGGGTAATTTGTGTAACTAAACACATATTGGCTTGATATCATCTGAAGCAAAATAACAGAAGATGTCATACATAGAATTAATTTAGTAAATAAAGAAATACACACAGTAACTGTAGTTATTTTTTAAGAAAAAAACATTTTGTCAGGGTAACTTCATTTATTAACCAAATACATCTTTTTAAAAGTCATAACAACATATGCTCAGACTTCCGTAAGATACCTGTTGATTCCACAAGCAGAAATTAAAAAATGAAAATAATACCACACTAATAATCTGACACACACTAAAGGATGAAAAAAATAATTCACAATCTCAAACATAACTCAAAAAATGGGGAACCATCATTAAAGAAGTGATTCTAATAGGGTCCCGTGGGACTAGTCTTGGCCCCATGCTATTTAAAATTTTGATTAATGACCTAGAAACAATATGTAATTATTATTGGTGAGGTTTGAAGCAGCAAATGAGGATCGATCATTGATATAGACAGATTCTTCTGATTGCCGTATGCAACTAATATGTACTTTAATACAAAACATTAACTCACACAACCAGAACAAAGACTATGTGCTATTTCAGCTTAAAGGATTAAAGTGATCCTTGGCTATATAACCACAAGCACTTGCCTGGAGCAGACAGGTTTGAATTTCACAGTGATATAACATTCATTGTCAAGTTCTGACCACAGTTGAAAAAGGATTTTTATATACTGGAAAGGATTCAGAGATCCACAAGACTGATTAAAATATTGGAAAACATGTCAAATAGTCAGGGAGCTCAACACGTTTTGCTTTTAGACTGACAAGGTTAAGGGATGAATTGATCTGAATCTAAAGCACCAAAACAGGGAGAATTCTGATAAAACAAGGGTTCTCAGCTTAGTAGACAAGGTACCACTACCAACAGCTGGAAGACGAAGCTAAGCAGTTAAGATTAAAAGTAAAAAATTTTCTTTTAAAATTCAATTTTAAGCACAGCCAACCATTCAAAAGGCTTGTTGAGAGCTGTGACTGTTTCCCCATCACTGGGAATTCTGAAAATGAAGACTGCATAATGTCTTAAAAGACATTTTCTGATCAAAACAGAAATCATCTCAGGTAATCCTACACCTTTGTTACGCAAGTTGCATGAGGTTATCCCAGCAGTGGTTTCTGGATTCATGAACCCTATTCAATACACGTACTGGCCTAAACCCTCGTGTAAACCACCTACGCGCTACTTTGTTCTTGGACACACTGTGTAAAACGCCATTTATTTCATATGTTGTAAACACCCCTTAAAGGATGTTCCAGCTTGTGGTGGTTGTCAACAGCTCAAAAAGGCCAGCAAGGGTATCTAAAAATTAACACTATGACTATTTTACCTTGCTAGTTCTCCACTCCCAACCATCTCCTATCTGCTGTGAATGTCTAATAAATTCTTCACAGTATTGCTTGAATCTTTTTTCTTCCAAAAAGAAGTCTTCTTCATTTGCCATGCTACAGGACATCTGCAGAGCAAACTAGATGTTAGTACTGAGAGACAAAACGAACACTAAAAACTTTTACTGATTTACAGCGACTGAAGAGTAAAATAACAAAGCACTGGGGGAAAAAAAGCTTTTCTTTAAGTAAAACAAAGACACATTTCTTCAAGTACATTAGAGAATCACAGATATACAGAACAGCCAAGATCAGAGGGGACTTCTGGAGACTGCCTAGTCCAATCCCCTTGCTCACAGTCAACTACAGCAGACTGCTCAGGACCATTTCCAGTTGGGTTTTGATTATCTCCAAGGATGGAGATGCCAAAACCTCTCCAGGGAACGTGTTCCATTGTTAAACTACCACAGCGGCAAACAAATTTTCTTCTGTTTAAATGAAAAAAGTTACCAATCTGTGTTCATTGCTTCTTGTGCTTCCACCACACATAGTACTGAAAAAAAGTCTAGCTCCATCTTATTTACTCCTCCCAACAGGTAATTATACACATTTATAAGATGCCACTGACCTTCCTCTTCTCCAGGCTGAAGAGTTCGAGCTGTCTCAGCCTTGCCTTGTATGTCAGACACCCTTAGTCATCTTTGCGGCCCTTCACTGGACTTGCTCCAGTATGGCACTGTCTTTCTTGTACTGGGGAGCCCAGAGCTGGATGCAGTACTGCAGTTCTGGCATATGTTTCCTTAGCAGTAAGGTCCAACTGGCGATCAGAAACCTCTATCCACTTGTGGCCTACTTCCATGGGCCTACTACCTTTTCCCAGGGGAACTGAATCGCTCCACAAAAGCTTAACAACTCTACTGTTTGTGGACCCAGAGGCTACACGATGGCCATCAGAATCCAGCTGAAGTAACTGTTGCTGCTCATGCCAGCAGTACAGCTCTCAATGGCCCAACTATGCAGTTTCAGGGAGTAATGGTATACTTCAGATGAGCACTCTCCCAACCTCTCAAATGCTTCCCTCCCAGGGTCTTACAGATAACACAAAAACTTTCTCAGAGAATCTGGCCAGTTTTACTTTTTTCCCCTTTCAAAAGGATGTATCATAAATACGGCTGTTTCAATGTGCTTATAGACAGAAGGCACCACTGCAGCACCACATACAAACAGTAACTATTACAACTAGACCACACCTTTTCTTAACACGTACAAAGGACACAGCACCTCATACAACGTTCATTATTTTTCAGATCTGGCCCTAAATCACATCATCCTGTCTGCCCACAAGATATTTATCTAGCAGTTGAAAATACATTATTTTCAACAGCAGTTAACACAAGCCCCATTACTCTGTGCTACCCGGATGTCAAGAAAGAGGAAATGTGGAAAACAGAAGCTAACTCTTTCTCCAGTTCTCAAATTTCCCAGTCTAGGTGATGGACTGCAGAACTGCAGTAACGGCATGTAATGACTGCACAGTTCTCACATTCGTTTTAAGCAGAGCTACGCGCTTTAGGAAATTAGCAGCTGTAAAGAGACACCAGGCTGCTGGCACCTGTGCAGCAGGCTCTCCTTTTCTTTCTTAAAACTACCCCGAAAAGAGCGACGAGCAGATCCGAACCCGTCCCTCCCACCCGGCCACGGGCCTCGCAAGCAGCAGGAGGGCCAGCCCAGATCCCGGCCAGCCCAACTCCTTCTCC